ATGAGATATTTTTATTAACCTCTCCAGGCTGTTTCTATAACTTATTTGAACTATTAGCTTTTGGTGGTTTTTTTTTTTTTTGTTGTTGTTTTTTTTTTTTTTTTTTTTTTTTTTTTTAAATTAAAGACATCAGTGTTGCTTTTGGAATTTTGCTAAACTTCCTCCAAATGCTGTGCATAATTGCAAATTCAGCTAAGTGTTTTAACATATGCCCGTGTCTATTTTTAATACCATTTTAACTAGTGTTTCACTTGGACCCCATAAATTCTTCATGCAGTTACTGTACTTAAGCCCCATGGAGTCACAGATATTCTTGCAGCCATTTTCCCCTGACTATCCCTCACCATAAGGGAGTGCTCCCCACTTAAGACAACACTGAGCTGAATGCTAATTTTTACATCCACAGCATGAAGGAGGAGCAAAGAAAACATTTCTAGCAGCATGAGGGCATCTCAGTTTCAGAGGGAGTATTCTCCTCTGTGAAGCTAAACCTGCATCGGTCTTTGTGACATGTTTCAACTTTTCATAGAAGGGTGTACCTGAAAAGTTAGGCAGAAGGACTTTGTTTGCCCATATGCAACTGAAGCCGTCACATCTCATCTTCTTTTGAGCAGAGTTCTTTCCTCCTGAACCTTTTGCCTCTGTTGAATATCAACAGTTTTCTTTCTTTGGCACTTATGCTTGGTGATTCATTCGTTCATTGCTGTTATTATTTGCAAGAGCAGCCTCTTAAACACACATTTCATCATCAACATAATCAAAACAAATTATATACATTTCCACAACTTAAACGTGCTGCATTTAACACTGATTTTTCATTCTTCCTTTGTTTAGGTTTTTGTTGGCATTTTGCATGCTCAGGCTTTTCTTGCAAGGGGGATGATAAACGTTCTGTGCCCCCAGGGGAGGGGCTGCCTGAAAGTTATTTGGCAATAGCTGTGGATATGTGGCTCCAATTTAAAATCCCTCTTTTTCACCCTTCAGTTGTATTTCTTTAAACAATACAGCAGAAATACAAGGATTTGTAGTCAGCTCTGGTAGGATGATTGGCTGTTACTGCCAAATTAATGTTGGTAGCCTTTGAAGCATGCCAGTGACTGTGGCTATAACACGAACCCACAAGATCTTCCAAGGCGGAAAGAAAGGCATGCTGGCTAAAAGTCTTGTGTTATTTTGAAATGGCATTTTTGTTGAGTTATTTTTAACGTAATGCATAAAGAAATTTTTCAGTAGTGGTAAAATTTTCAGCACCAACTATACTGAAGTCAAAGGTAATGTCTTAGACTATTCATGCAAAGGTCTGGGATTACATTTTGCAAATACAGTTGCATAACAGAAGAAGGAAAATAGCACATATAAATTTGCTTATAAATTTGAAAATTGGACCTTGTTTATAATTGCAACCATTCCTCAGTAATAAAACTCCGCTTGCTCCTTCATACTGAAATGGCTTTACAGGCTGAGGTTTTTGATATAGTGATGCAAAGTTTGTGAATAATAACTAAAATAAATAAAAATCCATTTCATTTTCCTTTGGTAAATTATCATCTATTACTTTTTCATGAGGTCATGTACATACACAAGGCATTTTTAATGGAATGACAAACGTAGGACTTCATCACATGTGCCATGATACCTGTTGTCCAACTTGTATCAGGCATTGAGGGTGATCAGAGCTTTACAGCTATGGGTGTATGTGGAAGAAAAATTTGCTTTTTTTGGTGAATTCTTGTATCAGGCGTCAGAGCAGATATTTGGAGAGAAGCAGATATTCATTTGTCCACAAACATAAAAACTTGATTATCTTCTCCTAAACAGAAAAAAAAATTGTGTTGGTTAGGTCCTTCCTACCCAAACATACAAATAATTATGAGCTGAAAGGAAGGACACTGGAGACCAGTGAATTAATTCCTTTAGTGATTTAATGAGCTTTGAATTAAGTGCTGTGGTAATCAAAATGCACATAGCAGCAAATCTTTTGAGACATTCACTGATAAAAAAGTTGCAGACTCCAATTTAGTATAAAACTTGGTTGGGAAAATTTGATCATTTTTCAGATCTATATGTTGTTTTTTTCTAAAAGTCTGAGGTTTATATAAAATTTGCTGTGTCGACATTAGCAAGCAATGTGGTGCAATAGATGAGCAGAGTGAGGTGGCCAGAGAAAAAGCCTCTAGACCTACATCATCAATAAAATGCAACCTAAAATGCAATGGATACCACCATGACAGAATCCTATGGATCCCCTTTACAAACAAATGCAAAACTGTTAGTTTATTTATTTCAGAAGCCCTTACATAGTTCCTTTTTTTTATTTGGTAGACCACTCTTCACAAATAAAAGGTGCAGATTAAATTTATTTTAATGTTTTATTATTTACAAAGAAACTGAGAATCTTGAAATTGGAACCAAATTTCTTTTAGGGTGAAAGTTTCCAGTCTTGAGCTTTACATGAAACTGTCCTTATAACAAAAAGTATTGGTAATGAGAGAGGAAGTGTCCCCAGAACATATCTGTATCAATTTGCTCTCAGCCACCTTTTGGTTGGAACAAAGGCAAACATATCCTATGCAGAAAAAGCAAAACAGGATTTTTTCAAGACTAACTGAAAGTCTCTATTACTCTCCACTTCTTCATGTTTACTCTCACATTCACAGTTCTTCTTAAAATCTCTGATACTGATACTTTTATGTAGATACTATTTGCCTCCCCACTGATATTTTGTATTTTTCTTCTTCACTTCAATCTGTTAAAAATCACCACAAATTACATCTCCCTTCTTGCTACACACACTAGGCTCCCTGCATGTGCAAACTGCTCCTTTACTAATATGTAAATTTAAACTTCTTATTTTCCTGCCAGCTTAGTATGACTGGATTCTAACCTCAAGACCTTCTGTACATTTCTAGTTTTGTCATTACCTTAAGCGTAATATAAATACCCAAGCCAATTGCTGACTTCCATTTTTTGGGGCCTGTAGCAGTTAGCTTTGGATGTATGTATTTGTTTGGCATGCAGAAGAGTTTAAGATGCTGTTTTGTGGCAGATTAGTTCCAAAGGATTGGCAGAATTGGGCATCATCACCTCCTCATATCAGTGTTGTACGGAGTGGTACTGTAGTCTCTGAAAACAGAGCATGCTCTATTTTTATTATTTTTAGTTTAGAGTCTATCCTTAGTTTAGTTTAGACTATATCCTTAGAGTCTTTCATGGTAGGGAAAGGACAGTCCTTTGTCTGCTTTTAAAGCCTTTACTTAAAAGCACTTTTTTTCCCATGACAGCCTCAGACAAGAGGAGGAATGTTCTCTGTAAAGCCCAGCAGTTGCTCAAGAATCTGCCACCACACAGCAGTAATGAGAGTTATTAAAGTTCAGAACATCAGAAGTGAGTGTTTCCAGTTGCAGAATATCACAGTCCTGGCTCGTTGCCACCAGCCTGTGCTCAAGCTGTTTCCATTTTTGCTAACCAGCAAAAGAATAACAGGATGTTTATTCCTTTTTTTTTTTTTTTTTTGAGCAAGTCCTGCCTATAGGGCTGCATTGAGGTTAAGTGCATCTTTTTACTTTTTATTCTATAATTTGCAGAAAAGGGATGTGGTAATAAAGGATGGGGAAGAAGGAAGGACTGAGCAGTGTTCACATGGATTAAAGGTTTACTTTGGCAAAGCTCACCAGCACAACATGTACTTGCATCACAGGTGTTTTCCCAAAGCATCTCAGCTGCCTAGACAAGATGTCATGGCAGCAACTCGTGTGCGCTCTTTACTGCTGGAGCAGGGCAAACATTTTGCTTAACCACAAAACAGCTCATGAAAAAAAAAATATAAAAAAGCATGATGCTGTACTCTCAATTGTTTTCAATTACGTAAGTGATTCTTGGGGCCAGGGTTATTCAGATTTAGGCTGTCAGAGTTCATTCTGTCACCACAGGAAATGTAATCCTATAGCTCAAGGCAGAGGGAGAAGATTGACAGTGTGCTCTGAGCTTTAAGCAAATTGCTTTCCCTTACAGGATGGTGTCTGAGCTCCTGCCTCTCTTGTCTTTTTTAGATCAGATTTGCTGGTAGCATGACCTTCTGGGCAGGGGACTTCTTTTGGGCTGCTCTTGGGCAGCACTCATTTTGTCTGGGTCTGGCTGACCCCTGCAATAGCAATCATAATTAGAAAGATTAGCAAACAATGTGTAAAACTGAGTGCAGTGTGGTAACTGTTGCTGAGGTCTGTCATGCTCAAAATCCTTGAATGCAAATTTGTATGGAAATTTGAATTATTCTGGGAATGCTCTCTATAATCCCTAAAATAATTATAAATGTACTGAGGTAGTGGAATGTAATGAAGTTGATATATTTTAACTGAAACCAGCACTTTTTTGTTTCTTGCTCTGGAACCTGGAATCAAACACTCTTCTCTGCTGTTGAATGGAGCTATTTGTAAATACCTGACACATTACTGATTTTGTTCTGAATCTATTCCAGGAATTGCACCTATCAACAGTACATGCTTATTGCAGGAGACCTTTGTTGGATTAGTGTTGGTGAACTGGTTTAGTAATGCTGGTACAGTTTATCAATTATTTGCAACTTGTAATCTAATGTAATCTAAAGCAGTCCTGCATGAGTAGTGAGATAGCTATTTTCTGTGAAAATTTCACTGCTTTCCTATTTTAATTAATAGGAGTTTCCTGACAAGTGAGAGATAGTATGGTACATAACCTTTTAAGAAACAATGCAGGAAGTAATGAAAATGGTTAATACCCAAGACTGAGAGACAGAATGCATTTGTAGAAAGTCAATATTAATATTTTAAAGGCTTTGGAGCATTTTAATGTGTTTTTATGATTTTGTGATCCCCAAAGAGTATATTAGGCAATGGGAAATTAATGGCTATCACTATCTTTACACTTTAGGATATGATTGTGTGCAACACACTTACCCAAACCCTACGGAGAGCAGCTTTAACCCATGCAGTCATAGCAATTTGGACAGAGGTAGTGGGAAGTTGCTGGTATTTGATGAGAGGTTCAGTTTGCCCCATGGAGTTCTATTCTTGTGGAATACAAACTCTTCCAGCAGCTCTGTGTGCCGTCCTGTACAAGGTCACAGAGACCTTCATCAGAGATGTGCTCAGGGATCTCTCAGCACAGGCGAGCTGGGATAAACCTAGTCAAGTAACAGCAGCAGATTCTGATCATGCTCTGTGGTTGCTGTAAAAAGTCACTGGAAGTTCTAGTTCTTTGTATTTATGGACTTAGAAATTTGTATCATTAATTAGGCCTTTGAACTGCAAGGATGCATGAAATTTTACCTTCTTCATTTGCCCCAAGGACTTCCACCAGGGTTTGATTTCCTTCATTAATACGAGATTTGGTACCAGGAGTTTTCATCCACTGAAAAATTAAACATACCACATTAGTCTATGAAAAAATATCAAGAATTAATATATAGCAGATGTGATATATTTGAGCATGAGAAAAGCATGCATTTGTGTGAATGTATTTCAGCAAAACCTTCTTCAGAGCATGGTGACAGCACTGTCAACTTGCTCTTGTGGGTAACACCACCAGCTTTTTGGCTATTCTTTCAGTAAAAAGTGACAAATTCTCAATTTTTAAGTTACTTATATAGAGAAGACCACGTAATTAATTGAAACAGGATTGTTTATGAATCAAAACAAGGTATCAGGAGAGGTATTGTAACACTGAGTAGAATTACACACCAGTCCACGCAATTACGAAGCAATTGCTTCCCAAATGTTTCCTACTGGTTTAGATAGGATTTAAATTAAAACAGAACTTGAACTACAACTGTTCTGTGAGGAACACCCACCTGTGAGGAATTTATGAAATTGGGTGACATTTCATGTGAAGATGTTTGAGATTAGACAGCAGTATTTAATTTTTGAGTTATCTTGAGGATAACATGTTCCCCCATTTTTTAAAACTGTGAGGCTATAGAGAATTAATATATGCAAGTTTTTATTTCCTCTAACATTATCTAAGGTTGCCTTTGGAAATAATTTTTCTTTCATTTCACATCATCACGTGATAAATCTAGACAGCTGATTCCCTGGAAGGAAAGCAATCTATTGGCTTATTTTGATTTCTGTCCAACAGAGTGCATGAAGAGATAGGAGCAGCACCTGCCCTCTTCCAGGAAACTTTATACAGAGCATCAACAAGCACATAAAATCTTTCACTAAGCATCAAAAGCATGTTTTACTTTACATTATCTTAGGATTTGTTTTAATATTTAAATATTAATCATCATTTATAATTTCAAAATAATTATAAATAATCATTTAATATTAAGACAGCTTTGTTCACTCCATTCTTAGAAAAAATCCAAGCCCCATCTTTTTCAGCATTCTTTGTGCAGAACTGTCCTATTGAGATAGTTCCACACCTGTATAAGCAAGATTAGGGACCTAAAAACATGAAGGGCAAGAATTATATTGGACTTCTGGCATGGAAATAAGTATAATTATACTAAGTCTTACATAATACAAATATATTGTAATTTAATGTATGATCATATATAATACCATAATTTAATATAGAATAATATATAATACCATATAAATAAAATGTAACATAAAAATAACTATATAACATACATCAGTAAAATTATACTATGTGTCAAATAGATTGTGAACCTTTAAAAAATAACAAAGAGGTATTTTCTTAATGCTGATTTATGCTCCTTAATAATGTGGGAAGTTGCTGAATTTGCCATTCAACTCTTGCCTATCTTGAATTATTCCAAAAAACAGAGGAACCAATATCAAAGCTCAGTGTGGTTTTGAGTTCAGTATTTTCTATTTAGCTATTATTTTCACACCATCTAAACCCACACAAAGCCCAGAAATAATACTCACTAGAACACAAACAACTAAATTGTGCTGGCATAAGAGTTGTACCCCAATTATAAAGGTGTTTACTCAATAAATTATGTATAGTCCTTAGGTCTTTTTTCTAAATTGTCAACTCCTAAGAAAGCAAAGTGTAAGAGTGGTATTCTTCCTCTGATTTTTACTACTACTCATTTGTAAGCAATATGTTTAATCACACTGCCTATGTCTTCATCAATATAAAAGCAGATCAAACCCTGTACTACAAATTTCACTCACAGTTCCAAAGAGAAAAAACTGACTCCTTCCAAACCACTTGTTTTCAAAACAGTATTAGTCCAAGCCTTATATACAGTCGTGTTCCAAATTCTTTACTATTATTTCCAGTTTATTTCTATCTCGGTTCTTCTCCAGACTTGTCAGTTCTCAGCTATTTCTGTGTCATGGAGCTGTGCCTAGTCATCGTGTCTCAGGAAGTAAAATGGTGAAGAACTATGCATATAGCAAAATTAATTCATAAATATTTAATGTACATGCCAGTAGTCCAGTGAGGGGTCCTTTGTGTTAGCATAATCAGATTACCAGGTTAGATAACATTTTGAAAGCAAAGTGTCCTACAACTTGTCCTAGTTATAAATCAAAGATTACAGACTGTAAAGAGCATTTAGGTCAGAACTACAAATTCTTGTCAAATTATACTGATGGAGCTGAGAAAAGGCAACTTGAGTGTTTCTGCATTTGTGAGGGGGATCCCAAAGGGTTTCCCTGTGCAGCACCCTTTGGCTACCTCTTCAAAAGCTCATTAGCCATGTCATTTCCAACAGCTCCAGTTCAGCATCTGATCTTTTTTTATTTTTCCTTCCTATGGAAAAAGAAAATGAGAACTTGAATTACTAACCCAGAGCTGTGCAGCCAGCTGGCAGGAGCGAGGCATCCCATCAGAGGTCCTGTTTCCAAGGCTTCACCCGCAGACAAAGCCTGCTCAAAAAGTTAAATCTAAAAAAAGACTGCTGCCTTTCAGTTTTCCCTCCTCTCCTCTAACCAGAAAGCAAAAGTTAATGTTCCACAGATGTTACAGGGCAAAACAACACCAAAGATAAAACTACAAATATGCTAATTCAAAAACATCCAACAAAAAGCCAAAGCAGAAAATGCCCAAACCATAAAAACCCCAAACTTCAATGGAAACAGAGGACACCCCATATAGTACTAAACTATTACCCCAAAATTCAGCAAGCTACGACTCTGCACTGGGTGTGTTACATACAAGAAGGAGAATCAAGAATATCAGTTCCAGAAGCCAAATGCTGAAAAATAATTCCTTTCATTTTCATGTCAAAAATTCTTTCACTCTGAAGTTGACTATCAACAGCAAGTGATTTATCCTGAATTTTTCAGTTGCTCTGTCACAGATTTAAAAGGAATCTAAGCCAGAAGCAAAATAATTGATCTGTTCTCAAGCCTGCAGGGGACAGGCAAGATTTGTTTCACTTCTAAGTTTTCATTCCAACAAGGCAGCATGGAATAAATATGAAATAGCGAGACAACCTGTTTACATGAGCATTTACATTCATATTTACATAAATAAAAAAACAAAAGAGAAGCGTTTCATCTCAGAGAGATGTGTTTAAAGATTTTCATGTGGCCTGTGAGGACAAAACCCTCATCTCTCCTCAACAATATATACTACATCAAAAGTGCAGTTTTTCACCATATGCCTTCACATACAGCAAAAATCTTGGTTTAGAATTTATTGCTGAATGGATGCTCATTTGCACTGTCCTTAATTTTGATGTGTTAATTACTGCCATTCCTAGATACCCTTTTACTATCATAATATTTTTCTTTTACATGTATGATTTCAGAGATCAGCTTTCCAAAACAGTTCAACATGTGTACTCAGAGTCAATATCCCAAATGGATGAATGACTCAGACTGCATAAAAATAACACTAAATTCCCTGCAGCTCAAACAGAAAACCACCCCAAAGTATTTTGATAAACAATGAAAAAAGGGAAATCCCAAACAAAACCAACATGACTAACAGAAGCTCTTCCCCTGATTCTTTCAAGCAAAATATATTGTATAGTTGCAAGCAAAATCCTATTTATTCACTTATTTTGATGGTATTTAACTATGACTAGCTCTTAATTTTTTATTAACTTTATTTATTTTAATCTAGAGGAAATAAAAAAAGAGATCATAATTGAGGGAATTTAATGATAGCAAGCAATATAACAAACAGTTCAAGAGAAGCTATTCTCTGCAGAAAAATGCATAAAAACTTTTTGCTTTGTAATAATATTACACTCTAATCTACATAAAGATAAGGATGTGAGGGCATAAGGAAACTGAAATTACGTAGGCAAAACAGTATTAAGAGATCCTTTTGAAATACACTAAGATTGAAAAGTGAATGTGACAAAATACGTCAATAATGATTAAAGATGATTCCTCTCCAAGTCCTACTAAAGAAGGTGTCCCTCTAACTTGTATTTATTTTATGTGGGAAAACATACTTTTTACAACACAAGCACACTGGAGTGTGTGAACCATCTCATCTGGGGGAAGATGCCATGCCTCTTCAGTGCTAAACACCTTCATTCCTCAGGCAGTGCCTGAATTTCTCCCTTACATTTAGCAGGGTAGCACAGCAGCGAGGGGACGTTTGTGATCCTCAGCTCTGCTGTAACCAGGGATGCTCATCAAAGCTGTTCATGAATGGCACAGACCTTCTGCAAGGACCCTCAGCTGCAATCCTGTGAAGTACATACTATCTGTCTATCCCTAGGATTGCTGCCTGACTCTTCCCAAATGCTTCTTTTGCAGGATTAAGGTGGAATGTCTATAACTTATTAACAAATGAAGACCAAATCAGATTACTTAGGTTTTTGAAGCTTCTAACAGCACAGAAATAGTGAAGCACACATTACTTTTTCATTCTCCTGAATTATGTTCTGCTTCTTTATTCTTACATCACTTGCAGCGAGATCTCAACCCCCTCTTTCCTTCCCAGCTGCTACTACTTTCTCCCCAAAGTGCTTTTCAATTCATGTATAAAGTGCCTTACTTTTGCTGTGCCTCTTACTCATTTTAAAACAAAGCAGAACTGTAATGCTGCTATTTTGGTCAGTCCTTGACTGCCTTCTTTTGCTGAGATACACTGGAATGCACAGCTGGTCCTTCTGTCAGTCCCCAAATTTTACAACCTCTTGGCTTGTTCAGCAACTAAAAAGACAAATCCAATTTAACAGCCTTAGTCTGCAAAGCTGTGAGCCAATCAGAAAATAAGTCATGTTTTCCAAGAAATAAGTTATGTTTATTCATTAGTTATTAGTAAAGAGTAGTATCCTACTCTTCTCTGTAAGGATCTCAGATGGCCACTGCAGTATGAGTTCCCCCAGTGCAGCCCAGCCCTGCCTTCCCTCAGCCAGCCTCATTGCCTCCTCTCTGCCATGCTCAGCCTCAGGCGTACTCCCTCTCACAGTCTTCCATTGGCAAAGTCAGCAAAAAAACAGAGATGACCAAAGGACAGCCTTACCTCCTTGGTGTCCACACCAAGAGCACAGCAGCCTTTCCAGCCTGTTCTGTTTCATCAGCAGACCTGCACCAGCTGTTTTCACACCTTCACCCCACTCTGATCTGTTATGTGCTGTGTTGCTTGGGCTATCCAGCTTGTGATCTGACTGCAATAGACAATCATTGATTTTGGGTGATATTTGGATAGAAACATCATATCTGTGCCATTTCTGGAGAATTATTCATTTGGTTGTCTCTATTTTCCACACAGACACTGTGGCAAATACTCCCCGAAAGGTGGGACTGGGAAATGTCCCATCCTGTTTTGGTGCACACCCCAGTTACTGTGTCAGGATGTGATGCGTCTCATCCTTGCTCTGCACTGATGTCTGCCCACTGGTCTGAGTTTATAGGCTTCAGAGGAAAATACTCCCTGAGCAGATGAGCAGCAAACTACTTTCCTATATCCGTATATCTTTCCCACTGCTGGGAAGAGGCAGCTGGGAAGATGTGAGGATGGCTCAGGGCCTTGGGAAACTGCAGCCACAGAGGGACTCTCCACTACTGCAGTACGAAGGAATAAATGATAACTGACATAATATTTTAAGCTGTTGGGTTTTTTTCTTGATAATGTGACTATTCAAAATCCAGTGTTCCAGATTGTTTCTTCCCATGCAACTTTCTAGCTTTCTTTGTAGAAGAACATCCAATTCTCAGTGTAAACCATGCATTTTTCTCCTGAAAAATGCTCACCAAGTGAACAATTGCGTTTGCAAGCAGCTCCACCAACTTTGCATCCTACAACGAAAGCAGAGGAAGCAGGACTGGATGGGTCCTGACCACTGGCCACAGAGGCCACCGGGTGCCCTGATGTGACCTGCCACTTCCAGGGAAGAACAATCTCACAGGGAGGACTCTGTGTACCCAGAGAATGACCTATTTTGAAACTCTAAGCAATACCTCCAGTTCCTCATACTACTGGACTATAATCATCTTTTTATAGATAAATGAGCAAACTTTCTGAGGAAAGAGTAATCATTAAAGAAGAGCCTCTTAAGAAAAACCAAAGTCCACTGTCAAGGAAAGATAATAACCCCTAAGTTTAACAGGATTTCTGGAAGACACAGTTTTCAGTGGTTTTTTTTTTTTTTTTGCTCCAGAATTTTACTTTTTCTCAAGAAACTGGTTATCACTTCTTTTTCACCTATCCAATCAAATGTGACTTAAATCCTCCAGTGCATATTTCTATGAATTTTTCACAGCTTGATATGGAAAGATATTGAAAAGGAATAAGAAAATGATATAGTTGTGTATTAGGATACAGCAAAAGAGTTGGGTTTTTTTAGCAAAATATATTATTTACATAATTTATTCTATTAGCTGCATTTTTAGAAGGAAAAAAAAATCCTTCAGTACTGCACAGGTATTTATTTACCTGACAGTTGCACTTTAAATGACTTCTAGTGGAAAGCAATACAGTAACAGAGAAACTGTCTGACCTAGATGTTAGAAATCCTTTCCTTAGAGAAATGCATGTAATTTTTTTTTAATAACTGTTTATGGATACTACACAAGGTATACAACCTGTGAGGAGATCTTAATTTTCTAAGTTAAATCAAGTGTATTTTCTATGTATAGATCTAAGCATTTAGAGTAGCACCAACAAATGGATATCAACAAAGGGATATCAAATTTACATGTGACTTGATATTATGTTAGAGAATGACACATGTTTGTAACAGTGGACAGATCTCAGACTCAAGCACTGGACTTTAGCAACAAAATAAGCGCAGAGGATGAAAAAAATGTAAGTAATTTCGGAATTCAAAACTCATTTTTCTTCTTCTCAGTACTAGTGATCAGTCAGTCCTGGATCAAGGGTCAGGTCCTGGATCTGTTACAAATGACAAATCTAGCAGATTAACTCAACTGAAGCCAGAAAAATGTTCATGATCTGACGACTGAGCATCAGACTACATGATTCTAGTCTGGCCTCAGACAGGGATGGCTTCTATCCTCTCAAACCGGCCTTGACTCCAAACAGAAAGCTCTCATTGCAAGGAGAAAAAGAAAAAAGGACAACAAGAGTGGACAACGTAGCTGTGGTGGTGAGAGCATTAGGCAGAGGTGTCTTCAGCTTCTTCCTAGGGAGCTGCTTGTAAATATGCACGGTGTGGCACATACAGCATCACTTTTCTGCATTTTAGGGTAAGGCAGGTGCGTCTTGCAAGCACTGCAAGAAATGCTCAACTCTCAAGCCAATAGAACGCTAAATATAGGTTTGTCTTTTCCCTGATCCCACACTGAAATATGCAATAGTAGATATCCGTTCACCCAGCTGTGTCTCCTCTCTCCTCAAAAGGCTATTCTTATGTTCCCCACAGTCAGGGGCAAAAAGGGACAGCAGCTCATTGAAAAAAGCATTCCTTGCAAGTTTTCCTGCCTGAGTGCAGCAAGTCAGGCTGCAGCTCATTAGTCACACCCTTA